ATGTGCAGCTGACGGTAGGGGTGGCTAAGGTCTTTCTCAAAGAGAAGGCATCCGGGACCTTTTTGGAGGATGATCTCGACGAGGGTGTCAGTGCCGGGTAATCGGAGGGCGAGGGGTTAGTTAAGGTAAGAGTCTAGGAATGCCGTCGTTGACCGAGAAGCCGGAGGGGAAGCTGAGGTCGACGACCACGCGTGATTTTAGCGAACGATTCTGTTCGACTTGGAGATGGGGAAATTGTCAACTCTGTACAAAGAGGGTTGGCTGAGAAAGGACCGCAAGTAGCGCGGCCTAAACCACTCTTCTTGTCCAGGTAAGATTGATTGAGATCGGTTCTGCCAAAGCCGAGCCATGATCAAGAGGTTTGGAATCGTTTTTCAGCGGAAACTTTGTGAAAATCGTTTAGTTGTAGGGCATATAGCCAGAGGTTAATTGCAGTTGTATAAATTACTATAATTAAGCTTTTTCATTTTTCTTTTTTTTAGGACAATTGTATTGCAAATAGGTGTTTTACTTAAACATGTATAACAAAGGTGATATGCTGCAGGAAAATTTTTTGTCGTGTAATCAACTAAGTTGAGCTTTATGGAAAACAAAACAGACGAGTACATTCTTTTCGATTTTTGAAGTTTTTTGACCATCTTACATTTTTCTTGACTGAAAGTTGGAAAGTGGTTTGATTATCTCACCCAAACTAATGCAAAATGGCACCTCAACTTAGAGTGAAAAGGGTCATTTTCGATAATTAACTGTAAGATAAGCTTAGCCAAAGATTTTTTAAATATCCTGGATAAATACGGGAAACTGGAAAAAGAAATTTATGTGATACAGGTGATTGCCTCCACCTATCATATGGTCCCCTACCTCAAAAACCGGGGAGGGGGAGTTGCAACCAGCAAAGAGATCTTAACCGGCACAGCGACTTTGCCTCACTCCTTTGCACGCTCGAATACTACATTCTTTTTACGCCTTGCTTTTTTTTATCTTTACTAAAGTCTATGGTAACCACCACACGGGACCTACTACTTTTCAGGGTTCCAGAAGGGAGGGGCCTCTTAAAGAGGAGGGGGAGGAGATACGGATTCTCCATGAGGTAAACTGTCTTTCTCAGTTTCAATTTGCCCACATACATGACAGAACGGAAAATGCGTGCACTGTTAGTACCTCTCGTTGACCCCTACAAAGTCTTACAAAACTTTTCTAAAGCTTTGTGTGGGACAGCGGGAGGTACTTATAGTGCACGTATTTCCGTCTTGTCATGGGAAAGGAAGAAAAAAATATAAATTTTAATTTAGCAGAGGTAAAACTCAGTGGTACATCGCCTACATCTTACAGTTTGAAATCTTTGGTTAGAAAGGATTTAAAATATATCATATGACTTAATAATGGGACCCAGCCTGAGTCGTTCCAAATCAACAAATGAAGCTAAAAAAAATGTCCTATCTTGCTTCATGAAAGCCATATAATATAACGATAGCTACATTCGAACACTCAAATATCCAAATCGTGATTTTTGAAATAATCAAAAATTTCTGTTTGTAGGGCTTCAGTTGATCGATCCTTCTACTCACGTCAGATCTTTCAATGTAATTTTCTCGAACGAAAACTCGTTTAACAAAGAGAGAAATCGTACGTCGTTATAATAGAGATCATTATAAAGAAAAACACTTTGAACTTTTCCTTGCGGGTTGGTTCTAAGCGGATAATTTTTGACATAATTTGAGCAAACTGCCATAATTTCTGCCAAATAGCAATGCTAGCATAATTCGCATATTTTCATAATTATCGGATCATTTTGGATGCTACAATTTGATCAATTTGGACTTGCTAAACATTTGCCTAACGTCTACAAACTTTCAGTACAACGGTAAACACTAAAAACAGTTACACGGCACTGCCATGGGGTCTCCAGTTTCTGTTGTTATAGCAGAAATTGTGATGCAGAACATCGAGGAACGCGCCCTTTCGACTTGCCGACAAACGATACCGCTTTAAATTAACGCATTCCACCACCACCTTAATGAACAAAACACTGACATACAGTTTACCAGAGAAGTCGAAGAAAATGGCAAACTTCCTTTTCTAGACTGCCTGGTAAGCCACAACAACAACTCATTACGGACGACAGTTTACAGGAAACCGACACACACCGAAAGATTACTAGACGAGTCATCCTACAACCCTACATCACACAAAGCCACAACTATCAGAACTCTAACACGACGCGCACAACTAGTATGCGACTCGACAGACAGCTTATCCGACGAGAACAAATACCTTCACCGTGTTTTTACGAAGAACAACTACAACAACGACTTCATCCGACGAAATACTCACCGACCCACTATCACTACCGAGACAAACTACACCGCAACCCCTACGACTACAGCAGCCATACCGTACATAAAAAGCATGTCTGAAAACATCTCGCGCATCTTACTGCCCTTCAATATCTGCGTAGCCCACAAACCCATCACCACACTACGTCAGTTACTAACCAACGTTAAAGACAAAGACGAACCGAGGAACAGACAGGGAACGATTTATAAGATCAATCGTTCCGACTGCCAAGCCTCCTACATCGGTGAGACTGGCAGAAACCTCACAACAAGACTGACTGAACACAGACGGGCGACGAGGAAAGGTGATGTCAGCAATCACATTGCTTAACACCATCGACTTACCAACCACAACATTGACTGGGACTCTGCGCAATGCCTAACCTAAAGCACTGAGTATTTTCAAAGACTGATTCTGGAAAGCTGGTTTACTAACTTAGAACAGACTCCCCTAAACAGATGTCACCAACTACCCGCTCCATACAAACGACTCATTCACGACATAAACATCATAAACGACCGAAAAAGAACGACCTAACTTTACCGGCAGATCGAAACAGACCAATCACGACCGACTTACGTCACTTGAGTCTTACAGCCAATAACATCACGGCAAAACCAATCGATCATTTCACACGAACTGGAATAAGAACATTCTACTGACAACAATCATTCACTTGACTCTGATGATGACTTCCGCACAGGTTGTCGAAACGTCAGTCACTACCACCGACAACAGTCCTTCTACACGCACCCGGACGATCAGACTACACCTTCACAATTTGATTATTGTTTATTTCTGCTCCCGAGCACTTGGTGACGTTATCCAATGTTTTAAGTTTTAGTCCAAGCTGTAGCATTTGTAGTTTACTGCGAATGAGAGCGGTGTCTGGAAAGGTTTGAGCCCGGGTCGGGGGTGCACCAGAAACGGAAGTCACATTGTGGGACATGTTGGCCTCAGTACCTCTAATCAGGCAAGGCTTAGTTCTTATTAACCCATCGGGAGGTCTGTATGGGAAAATGTTGACCGAGGTCGCCAGTACAGACCGAATGCAGTGAGGTCTGTACCAGCGACCGAGGTCAAGATTCTTCCATACAGACCGACCTAGCTCGGTTAATAAGATGTTTATTATATGGCTGTGTCTATATGCTAATTTTTCATATTCTTTGTACCTTTGTTTTTTCTTGATCGGTCTGGATGCCGGTCTAAATGGGAAAATCTTGACCGCTTTCAATATTGATTTCAGCCAATCAAATTCGTGAATTCGGTAGTTCCCAGTCCTTTTGAGACAGTCATATAATAATACAAGCATACAAAACGTCAAGTTCTAGATAAAATGCATTGGAATACAATGTTTATCACCACTGTTTGTCTTATTTTCGTAATCAAGCTACGATGGCCTAGCTAAGAACTGGAGTTCATATAATCGCAGATGAGCTACATGAGTGTAGTCTATTACTAGTGTGCATGTTAAAATGAACCCTGCATGTATATCTGAATTTCATTGTGGATTTGTGGCGTTTCTTTCTTGTAGACCAACGGCTTCTGATTAAAAATTTTATTTTTTGGACTTACTTGCAATTGTTTTTAAAAATGCATAATTTTTAAAAAATTGGCATAATTTGGAAAAAAGAGCATAATTTTAGCATCATTTCACCAAAAAGTGCAACGCTACTAGCATAATATGCTACTAAACCAGCATAAGGGACTGGTCATTATTTATTGGGAGGGGAAGGCTGGTGCAAATGGGGGGTGGCACCATTTTTATGCATGGCTTAAAGGGGGGCGGGCATTCAAAAATAGGCAAACGTTTTTCCAGGAAAAATGTTAAAAGCTGCATCTGGATGCCATCAACAAATACATCCTAATGAAATAGCTTTATGCATAACCACCATAACCTTGGAAGATATGGAACAAAGAAAGCAAAGCTGGAAGCAATTAAAGAAAGTATCATCCAAGAACTTGCTAAACGCATTGAGAGAGAGGAGGATGGAAATAGCGACAATCAGTCGTCTTCTGATTCACTCAGTAGTGAATCAGAAGACGACTCAGAGGAAGAAGACTGTGTTCTTGCAGAGATTGGTATTTCAAACTCTGAAGTGGAAGAGGAGTCGACCCAAGAATAAGAAATGATTGAGAGCACCGAGAACTTTAATGTCATTACGACAATTGTCTACACACGGTCTGGGCGAAGAGCAACTCAAATCTAAATTTAAGGTAGCTGTAAATAGAATGTCTATCAGTTGGACATGGGGACTTGATAAATAGATACTTTTTGTTTCATGCATGCCCGAGGACAAGGGGGGATGGGAGGGGGGGTCAGCAAAAATCTTGTTAAAGTAAAAGGGGGGTCAGCAAAAATCAAGCATTGCATATTTCACATTACACCAGCCCCTCCTCCCCCCTCCCGATAAATAATGACCAGTCCGTAATTAATTTATAAAGGCCTAGTTGTCTCCCTTACCCTCGACCAAGTGTGACAAGGACCCTGGGAACGAGAACCTCTAAAAGATGATGACATGCGCATTTAGTTGCTAACTGAGTGAGTGCAGCGCCGTTTGCGAGCCTTTCAGAAGTTGGCAGTCTATTTCTGCCTTAAAATTAGACAGTTGTGACACATACCACTTACTGATTTTTTCCAGCTGATGATAAATGGTCTAGGGATGGAAACGGGGAAATTGTTGGAGCGTGGTGACGAAGGAAATTGTGATGACGATCAGGGAACTCAAATTGAATGTGATGATCTCCGGGATCTCTTGGATAGGGAATTTTACAGATCGAGAGAGTTTTGGATGATGGTAACAGTTCAAGGAAGCCCTAGCCATTCCAAATTTTCTGTGACTCATTACGGATTAGCTCTGTTAGTGGAAAAAAAAGCTTGAATTTAATTATCTATAATTTTCATGCAGGTTCATGAAAAGCAGAGTAAAGGGTTGCCATGGAATAAAGCTATGGATGAAGTTCGAGTTGAAAGACTTATTCAGAACTACAAAGTTAATGGGGAACTGGACGGCGAAGACCCAGCACTTGTGATGTTAAAACATTGGCCAGCATCTAAACAGTACAAGGATAAACCTGACAAACTTCCAGGCCTTGAAAAGCTGGTATGTTGATTATATGAGAATGCAGAAAAGGAAATATGTTTATACACTAGTAAATGTGCTGAATGTGCTTTGCCGTTTTTCGATTTTGCTTCCTATTTTGATTAAAAGGCATACTAAAGAATTCTTGAAGGGCTGGGAATTAAGTGGACAGCATAATCCTGCATCACTCCATTAAACTATAATGCAAGTTTATGGAATTACATTACATTTCAAAATGCTTGTTGTTTGCAGGTGAATCAGTTTTTGGAGATTATGTTAGATAGTGAACTAAACCCAGGAAACAAATATGAGCTATTCAAAGATGAAAACGAAACAAAGAAGACTTTGCTGCACTATTCTGCTGAAGCTGGATTTTTACAAATCACCAAAACACTCTTAAAGAAATGTCCTGGTCTGCTGGAGGCAGCAACAGAACGTCAATTAATACCCAAGAAAAAAAGAGCCATGTTACCAGTTGAGTTGGCATTGAATGCAGAGAATGATGAAGTGGCAGCTTATTTGGTTAGAGCAATGCGGCATGAGAGGTATATTGTTGTGCACTGCTTGCCGGAAGGTGGATTTACTCTCTGGTTATGGTTCTTCTGTTATTCACCATACAGATTACACAAAGAAGATTAAGGCTCTATATAGAACTGAATGGTGACCATAATAACATTTCCTATTTTTACAATGAGCATATATATCCATAAATTTATCATTTCTTAAGTATTTTGTTTTCCCTTTTTCTTTTAGACATTTCATCTTTTACTCATAGTTCCATGAACCCAAATGTTCTATTTCCCACCATTTGATAATGACTCTGTCATATTCAAATTTCTCTGTGCATATAGTGTTACAAGGCTATTTTCTTGGAGACCAGAAGACATATCAAATCCACAGCCATCTCTCTTCAGTTTTCAGGCCATCATTGAGAATCCCAAAATGAAGGTGAGACTTATTAAGACCACATGATCAATACTCCTGCAAAACAGTTCTGGCAATATCAATATACAGCTAAGCGCCGATCAAATTTGTAATGTACAGCTTACATAATCTACCAGCTTCCCATCCAAGGGGATTATATAACCATTCTCTTTCTTTGATTTTTATGGAAAAGTTATGATAATTATAGAAAAGTTTATGATTTTTTTGGAAAAGTTGAGTTAAAAATTAAAGTAATTGATGTTGAATTATGTTGTTAAACTCAGAAAGTTTGAACACTAAATAAATCAATACCACAAACATGACCTAATTAACGCTTTATATCTGTAGTAAGGTATGTTTTCTGTTTTAAAAATATTGATTGATGTTGTCAACCTTGAATTCATCTATTATGCCCACTAATTGCTCTGATAATATTTTCAGAACTCAGTTTTCAGAGAAAGACATGCAACTGTAAGAAAGATGTTACAACTAATGGCCCCTCTGAGTAGATTGCAAAGTGTGGTTCTAGAAAATATCCATAACCCCCCCTGCAGGAGACTTTTTGATTGCACCCCCCACCCCCCAGGATTTTCCGTTCCAGGCGGTCTCTGATGAACCCCTCCACCATGAATTTCCAGAATTTTAATTGGAGACTTCTTACCATCCTTGGAAATTCAAAGTGGTTTTTGTACCTATAAAAAGAGAAAGTGAATACTGAGTTAGGTATGGTAAAAGTTAATTACAACACTGAAAACATTAAGGTTAACTTTAATGAAATATAATGCTTTGTTAAGCTTATACTTTTAGCTTCTTTGCCATCAGTTTGGCAAATCATATCTATGTTGTTTTATGTCAGATAAGTCTTAAGCTTAAACATCTGGGTTGCAAAATTTAAACTGATTTAAAATGTCGACTGTTACACATACGTTTTCGTGCTAACTCTGATGAGAATGTTTCACTTGCTTAAACAGCTTTGTAAATGATAGTAACTAAAACAGAAACTTACGGTTCCTTTGTCTACACATTTTGTCACTTTCCTCAGGTTGATTCCTATTTAAAGACCAAAAACTGCACACACATGTTAACTAGGTTTTGTGAACATCGCCACGATTTACTACAGTAGCTAGGTAGGTGGGCCTTCTGAAGGTCAAGCTAGAAATGGGAATGGCCATGTAGAGACGGGCATTTCAATTGTTTTGACTCCATTCCTAGCTTTGGGAGGTTGTAGCACTAGCTAACTCAAAGAAAAACAGAAACATTAAAGCTTATAATGTTGACTTTATCTCAGTGGCCAAGAGTACTGACTTATGTTTCAAAACAATGTACGTGAGTATGTTTTTGCACTTCAGATCGATCGTATATTGCTTGAAATGTTTTGTACATGGTTACTCTTGTCCCAGAGGTTCTCTTCTCTTAAAAAAAATAGGATAAATCTCTTCTCTCTAAAAAAATCGGCGCCAAGCACCGACAATGAGCTGCGAAGCAGTGAACAGTGTTCGCTTCTTTGCAGCTCGTTGTCGATTTTTTCTGAGAGATAAGATGTATCCTACTTTTTTCAAGGGGAAGAGAACCTCTGGAACCAGGGTAGTATGTGGTTCGTTACCCTTTGGAAAAGTAGTATCCTACGAAACCCCCCTACCCCTTGGAAATTACTGCCCTTGAACCCTGGCCCCCTCCCCCTGAGAATTTCCAATGATCTTCTGTGGGGGGGGTATGGATATTTTTTGGAACTGCACAATGTACAGTGAAATTTCTATAAAATACACATGTATTCCTTTAGTTTAGTGACATAGGAGAAGATATTTTTTTCAATATCTTGTGGTAAATGACTTATGTCAACAGAAAACAGTCGTGGCTGTATTAGACCAGATGGTGAACCCTCACTGGCCTTACCTTCCAAAACGCAAGGACACTTATGTCTCCCAAGAAGAAAAGAAGGGAATAGAAGGAGTCTGGAAGACAATCCCGGAAGATCCATTGAATTATTATTTTCATTATGCTATCTTGGATGGTGATGGGGGTGGTAGACCACCAAAAGTTACGTTATCAGAAGGACACACAGTGTCAGATAACAAATGTTTCAACCAGAGAGATAAGTCATGCTTAAACATGATTGCCAAGAGTAACAATAAGGTAATCTTGATTTTAACCCATTAATGGCCGCAGCTTTTGTGGAAAACTGTGTTTTGAAGCTAGTCGAGCAGATTTCGGGTCACTGTTGTGATTTTAAAAGCTCAAACTTACCCAAAACCCCTTGACAGCTCGTACACTCGATGGCCTTTCGATCCAAATGCAAAATGGAAGCCTGAAAATCTTGGGCACGCGCAGAAAGCAAAATTTCGAGATAGTTTTTGGGTTGAAAAGTAATGCCCCACTTACGACTTTTACTTTTCTCTCTTTCTCCTGCCCTTTTTTACCCCTCTCCTTGCCTGAAGTTTCTCCTCACTTGCTGGAAATTTAACTTAGGCTTGATTTTGGTGTAGAGGTTTTTCAGAAACTACTCAATATTTTCAAACCACATGCTCAGAAAGGTAGGTGGGTAATGGAACAAGATTTTCATCCAGATTTTTAGGTCAAAGTTACATGGTTTTTTGGCTATTTCTCCAATCTCCTTCACTCAATTGCGCTCATTCTGGTATCGTTTGTAAGATATTTTCAACCTGTTTGAGTACGTGCTCAAATTCGTGCTCCAGGGTTAAAAGTGGTGACATTACAAGGTGGGGAAAGGGTGTGGGTCCCCATGGGCACATACGGGCACACTGGACATCAATAGGTTAATTAATGTATATGAAGTATGTTGTTTGCCTTTGGACAAAAAAATTGGAGAGACTGACACCGCGGAAATATGTTTTTATGGCACAATACAGTATTTTATTGGTCAGTGGACACCTTAACAAAACCATAAAATGCCGATACCTTTTACAATGTTTTTGCTGAGTCTAGTCAACAGCGTAAAAAGGCAAAACTTAGAAAGAATACTATAAACTTAGCTTTGAAACTCGGCTCATGTTTTGCGTTTTGGATGGTTCTTATGCTCAATCTTATATTTTGCCAAAGCTGAACTGAAGGTGCACACAATATGAAATTGTTGTCTTTGGCTGGTGGTTCTGAGGCAACTAAGTGTTGTTTATACAAGAACTTCTACACTAGGGCTAAAAAATGAGACAGTTTTTGAATGGCTGAGGCAGTGATCTGAGGATGTTACATTACCAAGTTTGTAAAGCAGTGGGTTGATCGAACCATATGAATCGGCATTTTGGTCAGATCTGTGGAGAAGACAAAACATGGGTACTCATGCAAGAACCACGGCCATCCTATCCCCATTCGTAGTTACCGAATGTTATATCAAGTTGGCCAAAACAGTTCTACATATAAACCTGGGACACACTGCTGTAATGTGTGTAGGATTGAAGCCCCCAAAGTACAAGAACTGGCCTCAAAAAGAGGAAGAATAAACTGAGGTATGTTTTGAGTACAAAATAAATAAAGTTTTCACTTTCCACCTTTGTTGTTGTTTTTCTGAGCAGTAATTCTTTTTACTCTCCCAACAAGCATTTGTTTCCCAGCACAATTATGGATAGTTTGTAGGATGTCTTTTCTTTTGTGGTACTTTTCCCTCTAATTATTTCATTTTATTTCTTTATTTTTGCTTTTTCTTTCCTTTCTTTACTAACCTTAGCTGTCACCTGTGACATAAAATGTACTGAGCTAATATAGTACCTCTGGTTTATTTACTTCCCTGATTCGCAAAATAACATTACCAACTTGGTACTAGTGGAAAACAAATTTTTAATAAACAAAAGTACTGTAAAGTAAAATAATTATTACAATTTAATTTAATTGGTTTATATGAATGAGGAATTGTATTGTCTTTTTTTGTATGGCAACAGCCTTGAATGAATTAACTGCCTTCTTAACCTGATTTCTTATACCTAGAGGCTATTTAAGTTATCAAACGAAAAAAGCTCTTGTTGGGTGTTCATGGAGGTGATGATGGTGGTGGCAAAGAACATGATGATTAATAATGGTAATTAAACTGAGTGGAGTGCAATTTGGGCTGAAATCATATGCATGATTTCAAAATCAAAGGAGTGCCCTGCGTGAGTTCGATTTGAAATCACAAGTATGATTTCAGACCAAAATTGCACGACTCAAGGTTCAATTACCACTTTATTACATCCATTTTGAAATTGCCCAAATGCAGGACTTGGTCGATTCAAATATTTTACAGATGCAGTACTGAGTCGGTTTTTTAAGAAAAAGTGGAACCGGAAACGCTTTAATTACATCTTATTTTGTATGCAAAACGGAAAGACTTTGATGTCATGTGTCATAAACTCAGTCAAGCATAAAATGATGTGATTTAATAGAGCAAAAAATGGTGCGATTTGTGAATAAATCGCACCTGCAATTAGAGCCAATCAGATTACAGGACCACCAGTGATTTCAAAATGGATGTAATGATGATGATTAATCTCCCAAATTAGAAATGTCAGGGGAAAATTATCCAAAGTATCTCATGTCAAACCTGTTTGTTAAAAATGTTTAGGAGAAAATTGATTAGATTAAGGCAACTGTTTGATGAGATACATCACTACATTTGGGTGATGTCACAGTGGTTAGTGGTCGTCAACTTTAGGTGGCCAAGTGCTTCAATGTGTTGAGTAAGTTCATGAAATTATTGGTTGTTTGCTTGGTTTTAAGTTGGAAAATATCCTTAATACTTCTCATTATTTGTTAGATTTGATTCTTTGAAAGGATTTTTAATATATGCTTGATATTGCTGAAACTAGCTGAGAATTACTTATTCAGACTACAACTAGCCTGCATACAACTGCTCCCTTCCTCTGTAATAGATTGGGAAAAAGACATCTGTGTGGTGCTGTTGTTGTTCAAGTTTGGGAATGTCCCTTCCAGGATTTTTGTTTGCCTGGATGGGCACAGCTGTACACAGGCTAATTACAAGCTTTTGGTTACTTCTCACAACTTTGATCATTTTCCCCTGACATTTCTAATTTGGGAGATTAATCATCATACTAATTATTGTGTTCTTTGCTACCATCATCATCACCTCCATAAACAACCTGCAAAAGTTCTTTGTTCCATAGGTCAGACAGTTTCTGGATATAAGAAATCAAGTGTAGAAGACGGTTGATTCATTCAAGGCTGTTGCAATACAAGAAAAGACAATACAGTGCTTTATTCACATAAATCAATTAATTTAAATTATAATAATTATTTTACTTTACGGTACTTTTGTTTATTAAAAATTTGTTTTCTACTAGTACCAAGATGGTATTTGTTATTTTGTGAATCAGGGAACTAAATAAACCAGAGGTATTCCGTTAGCTCGGTATATTTTATGTTGCAGGTGGCAGTATTAGTAAAGAAAGAAAAGAAAAAGCGAAACGAAGGAAATAAAATGAAATAATTAGAGAGGGAAAAGTAGCATGCTACAAATAATCCACAACTGTCATAGGAAACAAATGCTTGTTGGAAAAGTAAAATAACTGTTGCTCAGATAAACAATAACAAAGGTGTATTTAGTGAAAACTTAATTTCTTATCATTAAAATGGACATTTTGTACTTAAAACGTACCTCGGTTTATTCTTTCTCTTGTTGAAGCCAGTTTTCGTATTTTGGGGGGCATCAATCTTACACACGTTACAGCAGTGTGTCCCAGGTTTATATGTAGAACTGTCTTGGTCAACTTGATACAACATTCAGTAATAACAAGTGGGGATAGGATGGCTGTGCTACTTACACGAGTACCCATGTTTTGTCTTCTTCTCGACGCATCTGACCGAGATGCCGTTGACATGCTGATTTATATGGTTCAAGTTACTGCTTTACAGACCTGGTAATGCAATGTTTTTGGATCACCACCACTGCCATTCAACAGTCGTCTCATTTTTTTACCCCTAGTGCATAAGCTCTTTTATAAACAGAGCTTAGTTCCACGGAGCCGCCAGCGAAAAAAACAACAATTTCATATCGTGAGCAACTTCAGTTCGGCTTTGGCAAAATATATGACTGAATATAAGAACTATCCTATCCAAAAGGTGAGCTAAGTTTCCAAGCCCAGTTTACAGTATTCTTTCTAAGTTTTGCCTTTTTACCCTGTCGACAATACTCACGGCGAGAACACATTGTTAAAGTTATCGGCATTTTACAGTTTTGTTAAGGTGTCCACGGACCAGTAAAATACTGTATCGTGCCCATAAAAACGTATTTCCGCGGTGTCGGAGAGACTGTTCTCAAGGGTGAAAAATTGTTTACTGGGTAAAGCCAAGCTGGTATGATAGATTTGTAGTTGCCCCTAAGATTCTGTCTGACTTTAAATTGCAGGAGGCTTTGCAACATCCAGTGGTTAGAATGTTGGTTAAGACAAAATGGAAACGTTATGGACATTTCTTCCTCAGGTAAATAGGTTTTACCTTCCTTATAATGTTTGTAAGGTTAGATCACATATCCAGCCCACAGGTGTAGTGCAGGGAAACTAAGACATAATCCTCCACCTACTTGGAAAAACACTTTTATTTGTAATCTAAGTAACCTTAAATAACTTTAAATTGGTTCACCAGGTTTGCATGATTTTTTAAACTTGATTTGTATCTTATTCCTTGTAGAGTTTAATTAGGCCGCTGATATGTTAATGTTCTTTTTATTTTATACTCAGCCTTCAGACAGCATTGTATGCCATCTTCTTGCTGTTCTTGTCATTTTCTCTGCTATATGGGTCAACCAAACCAGACCCCACCCAGTACAGGGGTGCAGCAGATTTATGGTGTGGATTCTGTGAGATTGTCACTCTTCTCATGGCTGTCTTTTACATGTGTGAAGAACTGAATCAATTGAGAATGTAGGTGATATATAATGCTGATAACACAGGTAATTACACTGAGACTAATGTACATAACATCATTGAAGATACATTTGTTGGTTTAATCATCCAAGATTAGTTTCCCCCATGAGAAAAACCCTTTTTGTTAAGCAAATGTGCTACATATACTGAGTGTTTTTACAACAAAAATCAAAATTTGTGTTCATGAATAAGCTCTCCCAAAGGGAAAGATCCAATGGAGGGATTAATATTTTTCGTGTCATTTTTGTAGAGAAAGATATTCCTACTTCTCAGAGTGGATGACCCTGTTTGACTGGTTAGGCCTGTTATTGGTCCTGTGTGTCATTCCCTTACGGTTCACTGGTAACAAAGCTCAGTGGACAGTTGCATCTTTGGCAGTCTTGTTTAATTTCATGAGGATTTTTAAGTTCTCATGTGTAACAAGGTAGGTCACATTAAAAAAATCTTCAATTTTAAAGTTTTGAAACATGCTTCATTTCAGTTAGAGATTAACGTTCAGACATGGTTTGATGCTACTCTGGTTTGAAGATTGAATGTAACCTAGATATTACAATTTATAGACCAAATGTTCCGAAACTCCTGTCTAGTGCCTCCTGTCTAGTGTCTAAATATATCTTAACCCATTAATAGCCGCAGCTTTTGAGAAAAACTGTGTTTTGAAGCTAGTCGAGCAGATTTTAGGTCACTGTTGTGGTTTTAAAAGCTCAAACTTACCACAAACCCATTGGCAGCTTGTACACTTGACGGCCCTTCGATCCAAATGCAAAATGGCGGCCTGAAAATCTCGCGCACGCGCAGAAAGCAAAACTTCAAAATTCTCTTTCTTCTGCCCTTTTTTTCCCCTTTCCCTGCCTGAAGTTTCTCCTCACTTGCTGGAAATTTAGTAGGCTTGATTTTGGTGTAGAGATTTTTTAGGAAACTACCCATTATTTTCAAACCACATGCTCAGAAAGGTTGGTGGGTAATGGAACAAGATTTTCGTGCAGATTTTCAGGTCAAAGTTACATGGTTTTTTGGCTATTTCTCCAATCTCCTTCACTCAATTGCGCTCATTCTGGTATCGTTTATAAGATATTTTCAACCTGTTTAAGTACGTGCTCAAAGTCGTGCTCCAGAGTTAAAAGTGATGACGTCACAAGGCGTAGAAAGGGTGTGGGTCCGCATGGGCGCTTAAGGGCGCACTGGACGTCAATAGGTTAAGATTAATGTTCCCGCTCGCCAATTTCATTTGGCAACGATTAACATTAACCAATCAAAGTGGTTGTGAGCTACTGATGTCGCATGTTCTTGTTAAGATGCTTTTATTGAATCATATATATGTTTTGTTTTTAGGTTTATGGGATTGGGTAAGGTGTTTGAACCTTGTAGGGTATGCTATATCCTTTTGTTCTAACACCTGTATATATTCGATATGTACAAATCTTGAAATAAACAAATAAAGAAATAAATAAGGATCAGTGTCAAAGCAGTCATTTATCGATCGCGAAGCGCAGTATCTGCCGTTCTTTTTCCTGTTGTTTTGCGTTTTTTTTTTTAAGGGAGGTTTTATATTAACCATTCCAGAGTTGAGTTTATCTTCAGTTCTCAAACAGTTTACTCATACGAACAGTTCTGATTTAAATTAAGCCCAGTTCGTTACTCTTACTCAGACTTTCATCTTTTCCAGGACTACAGGACTATACACAAAAACTCTTGCAAAGATCATTCAGCAAGACTTGACAAGATTCATGGCAGTTTTTGTTGCCATTTTCCTTCCATTCAGTGGAGCCTTGTTTTTATCTCTCCGCTCATCCAATCAAAACCAAGAATTAAGGTGCATCGAATAATTTTATTTACTTCTCATTTCTTCTTGTCTGAACTTAATTTTAGTTATTTTGCGGACAAAATGTATAATGCTTTTAGCTTGGCAATTTTGAAACCATTCGTTCAGCTTTGGAGAAATACAGTGCAATTTCCAGGAAGACTAATTTAGTCTACTCGACAGGGAAATGTCCTGAAATGTTGTTCACGTTATTTTAAATCTATTCTTTGCATTTAGTGGCTTTGGAGATGTATTATTAAGCGGTGTTCGTGCCCTGTCCGAGCAACGACCCTTTGTAGCAGATTTTTCAAGCTTCAAGTGAGTGACTCCGACTTAAGTAATAAGTAATAACTGAAAACCTGTACTCCTAATGGTATTATATGCAGTAATAAGTTACCCGGTCCACGCTATACAATATTAATCCCTCTGATCTTGCCTTTTATCCGGTGGAAGGTGCGAACTTACAGTAGGGCAAAGCCCTCAGTTACCGCAGTATGCTTATACCTCATAGAGCGTTGGGAATGTGGTTTCTTGCAGTTGGCTCTCCATGCTGTTGATGCTAATGTACATGGGAACTGTACTTGTGATTCTGCTCAACATACTCATAGCACAGATGAGCACGACCTACATACAGGCCAAGAAAGTCGCCCGTCTGGAGTATGATGTGGATCGTATTTTACAGCTCACTCGCATGGAGAGATTTCCTTTTTTGGTACGTAGACGGAAGGCACGGAGATCATGTTTTTAAGAACGGAGCAAACTGTAGGTGTGAATGTCATGCACCACGTCCGAATACTAAAAGAATACAAAAGGGGGAGAAGGAGAAAAAATTGTTCTTTAAATTCAAAAACGAAAGATATTTTCTACAGTAGGATTCAAATTATTTAAAATTTGCTAAAGAAAACTATCAGCTTAAGAAACAAAACGGAGTGCATGGCTTGGGTAACACGACTTGTTTTTCTCAGTATTCTTTAAACCTTGATTTTAATTTAAACAGAACAGCTTTACTAGTCCGTGAAGTTACCGGAACCTTCGAGAAAAGGCCCCAGGAGCATAGTGTGTGTGACAAGATACCTACGCTTGAGACAGTTAAACTCAGCAAAAATAGTTTGTCACAAGCGAAATTTTTACTGAATTTTTACTGCTCAATTATAGTGCTGAATCGAATGGCCAATTTTGCTTCTATTATTTTAATCAGCTCATAACGTTCAATGTCTGTTCAGATTATTTATTAATTAAGAATCTTAATTTCTACTGAGTTCCTTTTTGCGGATACTCACTTATCTTATTATCTTCTGTGCAGAATTTGCGCGTGAAGTATTACAAAGAGGGAGAGTGGATCAGTGAAAAGAAACTTGCGGAAGGTTTGTAGTCATTTAAATCCGCTTAAATTTCACAATGAGATGGATTGAAAGGCTGGAACAAAGGCTGTGGATGAGCATTTTGTCCGAGAGTTTGTTGGATTGATATCTAACATGGAAATCGTTTAACGTATTATCCTCAGGTATTAAATTCGATGTCAGAAATTCGACCCGAAAGCTCTTGTAAAATGCTTATTTACACGATAAGTCCCAAACGAAATTATGCATGTCCTTGTTCATATTCTAAGTAGAAAACAGATGAGGACTGGTAGAGCTGGTCGTGTGACCACTGAAAGTTATTATACTCTCTTTCAATCTAATGGTTTACTTACGCTGTAAAAAAAAAAAACTGAATCATTTACAGAGCTTCTTGAGTTCAGTGAAGATCGCAATCCTTGGGAATCAGTGGAAGAAAAGCTTAACGCGATTAGGTAAGGATGATTCTCGCATTGAAAGTAGTCCTGCCTGTTCAGAACTAATTATCTTTGCACCTAACCCCAATTCAGGCTGCCCTACCTCCCAGACGCATGTCTCAATAACTTACTTCGTTTCGACTCTTAATCCCAGGGATATGATGCGAAAGATGGTCAAACAGATGAGGCAAGAGAGAGGATGAACACGTGTTAGACACGTCCGTGGGAATGCATGAGGCCTTGAACAACTCGAGCTGCAGAAAATCTACAAAGCATCACTTAACAGAGTAATTTTTCTTTAAACTCTTTAAATTTGAAAACAAATAAATACAGCAAAAACAAAAAGAGAGCCCCAAATTATTTTCTAAGCATGCCTGTCTTCATGAAATTAAAACTAAGGGAAAGATTGAACGGCGCGTAGCGAGGGCCTGAACACTCGAAAAATGAATTTTTAAGTGCAACGCTGTATTTGCTTTGTAAATAACTCGTTAAGTAAAGGTTACCTACAAGATAGAACAGTTTGGTCAAATTTCGAGCAATGAAAACAGTGAAATCATTTTGGCAAACTTGGTGTCAGGCAACTATGATTGTAGATGGGTTTATGACCCTTGGTGTTAAATCTGTTCGTTTAAATTTTGTTGGTGTGGTGATTTACCGTTGGAAGCCAACCATCTATTCAGCCACTCTTGGCATTTTACTTTCACATCTACAGCTTCCCTCGATTGCGACCATTCAAGCAAAGCTTGTGCGGTCAAACTCCACGTAGAAACTGCAGATCCAAAGTATGGGGAATTTTTGTCGTCGGACAATTTTACTCGTTCTTGAGAAGCTCGAAAATCTGCAGGACAGCTGACTTTTTGTCTGTTTAAATCCATCCTATCGAAATCTGAGAAATGCACACGACAATTTCTGCAGGTACAAACAGCTTTTCTCGTGTCTACAACACATTCATTGTGAATTCGCCGTTCTGTGAAAGGAAACGGAGGTTCCGTCGAGTTTCGTTTTCCTAAAAGCCGGCGTCGTGTTTTCATAACAGCTAACGAAGTGTCTGACTGTTTAGGGGCGTCACCCTCATTGTACGAATTTCTTTTGGTCTTCAATTACAACTTCTCTTAGTTTCACACAGTGTTCGTTTGTCTGTCAAGGTTGCTAATGATGAGTAGATTGGCTTAATTAAATTAAAACAGGACATTTGACTCATTCATATCGCTGAGTGAGGAACTTGTACGATACTTTTTCAAATCGTCGGTTTGAGACTGGGAGAAACTAGCAAAGTGGACAATAGATCTATGGGACCACAGGTCACGTCGTTTCGTGGGGGTAGTTACCATGCAACGGCATCCTTTTTTTTTCCCAAACAAACGGGGAACATTCCAGAGAAAGTTTATGAATGATTTAATCTTGGTCTTTACAAACTCTTTCTCTTTGTCTTTTCCATCGCGCAAGCGAAGGGCCACTTTCTTTTGGTCGGTATGATGAAACCTCAGTCAAAGTCTCGTACAAGAGTTGCCTTTACAACTGAACATCCCGGATAAAACAAGTGGGGTTTAAAGATAAATTCAGTGGCAAAAGAACGATGCTAGTCATCTAGCAAGAGGTTATTTAGCCCTTGTGTCTAGTCATCTTGGCCAAACAAACTTGGACAACCAAAAAAAAATTTAAATGTAAGAATCGTGTAACCTCCAGCTTCCCACTTACATCAACTGTTAACGGCTGTTTGTTCAAAATGTTACTCCGTAGAATTTCGCTCTTCTGCGGGAAAAAGCGCGAAATTAGGAGCAGGTAAGAAGGCCAAGTGAGACTCGTTAGTAACTAAACACAACTCGCTTCGTCTAACCATAGCGGTAACAATATCTCTCTTTTTAGTGGAGAAATGTGCCCCATTAATCATACAGTTTTAATCCCCGCCATTTAAAACTAGATATCAAAGTCAAGCGCCTGCTGCGTTTTGAGATTACAAAGAAATCCAGTCACTGGTCAAAAATTGTCATCAAACGTTCTTCACTTTCGACAATCCAGTAATGCAATGATCTTCACAAGGGAGAAAAGAATTCTGATGAAATTAAAGCTTACCTGCGTGCTCTATTTGACGTTTATCTGTGGGTCAAATGAATTTCCTTCCAGTTTGTGTTGTTGTAGCAGAAATTGTGATGCAGAACTCGAGGATTGTGCCCTTTCGACTTTCCACTTATACCTTAATTGACGAACAAAACTCTGACATACGGTTTACTAGACATCACCAGAAATTGGGGACATTTTGAGCCCGTTACGAAATGTCAGCGGTATATCGTAGTACAGACAATTCAATATGGCGGCGGTAGAAGTGAAGTGAACACTTAACTTTCTACGTATGATGTACGATCCTTCGCTGTAGATAGCGATTTTTTCGTAAAACCCCGCCAGAGAAAGGCCTGGTACCTTACTATCCCAGATAGCCAAAGGAGACGTCAAAACAAGGAAAATGGCAGCCAAATTGTGCAGTTACAGAGACTCGTATGATTCGTGTTCTTCCTTCCTAAAATTGGGTTATATAAAAATGGTGTATTGTGCTGTTGAGCTCTGTGAAAATATGAAGAGTCTCCCGGCGGAGCAACTTCAGAATAGCCGTCCGCCTCATTTACATGTGTCGGGAGGCTTTGACGAACGAGGCATAACACAATGGACGTTATTCTTATTTAATGGAATAGAATAGGTTTTTATTGAAAAACAGTACATAGCAGCCAAGGGCTGAATTGCGTACCGTTGAAAAGTAAATGATAAAATTACTAAATATATATTTATGCTATATAATAAAGTACTATTAAGTTCGAAAAGCCACCTTCAAGATCTAAAATAATGACATGTAAATGAGTGGCCGGGTATTCTGAAGTTTAGCCCTCCCGGCGCAAGGAAAATGTGTGGGCCAACATATTCGATCGTTAACGAGCGATTTATTTGAGCAAACCTCTGCAGAATGCATATCGAACTACGCAGTTGAGAATCTTCACTAGGTTGTTCCCACGAGAAAAGAATTGTAACACCTAGTCGAAGCAGATTTTAACAGTTTGTATGGGAAAATGGAGTCAAAATTATGAGTTTACTCGTATACCTTGGGAAAAGGTAGGCTTGAATTGAGTATTTCTTTTACATAGCGATGAACGCTTTAACCGATGCAGGCTGCATTTCCAACTACGCAACGAAAGAATATCCCATTCTTAGACAGCTATTTTGAAAAACAATCTTTTCCCATACATTTTCTTATACTGTTTCGGCGCCACTTTGCTTGTAACACGAGAACCGCCTCCCCCCCATTGTCCCAAATTTCTGGCATTGAAATGGTTAAAAACCTGATACGGTGTATAGAAATCACTTGCACGAATGTGACATATTCTAAAACACCTAAATAAGACTGTTGGTCTTGTAGGCGCACGATTGGTTCAACTGCCATGCGATCTTGTTTCGCACTTAATAGAGGGTGAGGCACTTCCTAAGTTTTCTGCGAATATCAAGGCTTCCAGAATCACGCAGGGTGCGTATTAAGACGAGGTTACTTCTTGCGCCTTCAAAGTTAATGAACCAGTTGGCCCAGTTGCACTTAAGACTCTTCCCAAGGTGAGCCACATCTGGCAAGGCAACAACAAGGGACAGTTCTGCAGGCAAAGTCTTATTCTTTGCACTAGGATTCAGTGCTAACAGGGCTTTCTTATTACATTCCTCGCAATCAGTTACAAGACCCATAACAAGGAATCTAAAGAAGGTATGTGCGAGGTGAGGGCCTTTTCCATACAACTCGCGCACACAGACTTAGTTGCTAAACAGTCATTACAGCTACTTAACAGGGGGATGTTTCATATGACACAATGTGACTTGTTGCTTTCATTTGCTTTAAACATCGTTTGCATATTTGTATTGTCTTGACGGAGTTCTGAATGGACTGTAGCATTTCCTCGCTAGAGACAGACGTCGGTCGATACCAAATTTATAGTACAGACAATCACTTGGGATCTTTCCTTCTTTCAGAAAATCGTTTAGCTGTATTGCGACTGGATGTATATTTTCTAGGCCCCGTGCAAATACCGAAAAAATGTTGATTTTAATCATGAGAAAGTAAGTTTGAAGTTTATAAGTTTGGAGCCAGCTGCGTTTGTTGGACATCGCATTTCGTTTGGAACGATCAAACGCGGAAATGAAGCATTTGACCACCTCCTGCCTCAAGTATAATTGAATTATTCTCAATATTTAAATAACAGAACATTCTGGGACTTTTAAATATGGCGAACAAATCCTCACGACACCGCGGTTCGAAAATTCCGTTGAAAATATCTAAATAAACCTCAATTTAGACCATTAAACTTACAGATTAAAGCCAGTCAATTCCTCAGGGTCCTCCTTTTCACTATTATCTGTCAACAACAAACATATGAAACATATGTGTGAACTGCGGTTATGAGACGTATATGAGCACGATCCTTCGCAGTGAAGCACTATTTGAGCAATAGTGAAAATCAGACCTGAAAAAAATTTCAGGCCTGTACGGGATTCGAACCACTGACCTCTGCGATACTAGTGCAGCGCTCTACCAATTGAGTTTCATATGTTTGTTGTTGTTTGATTTATCATCTACGGGTTTATGTCGAATTAATTTGATGGCCTGCTCCCAGTTGGCTTGTTAGCTCAATTGGTAGAGCGCTGCACTAGTATCGCTCAACAGGCATCAAAACTCTTGAACGTCACATTTTCTCGCAAGTAGCACGATAATTATTTTTCCCACGGAGAAGATGATTCATGTAAAACACAGTCCATTATTTGCTTGTCTGAAATGACGTCATCGACTCCTTCAAAGTCTTCCATTTGCTCAGTAGCAATCATGACATCTGCATCATCATGCTGTTCACTAGTCCAAGATAAGCTAAAAAAACTGTCTATGCTCTTAATCATTTTCAGTGCGTTTGTTCAGAGTTAATATTCTGGCTGGCAAATATAGCATTTGAGGAGACGTTTAAGCTCGTGACGCTGAACTAGCATATCAGCTTCTGCTGAAAT